AAACTACAGGTGGGGAGTTTAGGGTATATAGGGCTTCTGTAAGGCTTCTATACGGTATATAGACCTTCTACAACTCCTATAACGGCAACTACTCACCTGAAAATGTCCTAGACAGAAAGCCGCAGGGTGAGAGAGATAAGTGATAAGACAGTTTTGAGCCTTAAGCCCCCAAGTTCCTGACCAGAAGCTGAATAGTTTGCAGTCGAACGAGAGCCATGGATAGGCATCATGCTTTCAAAGTGCTAAACATGTGTCCGAACTAGCTATGTAGAGTACGAGGCAGAACAGAAGCAGTGGCAGTCGCCCGCGAATGCGAGCGACAACAAGTCTCCTTCTGACCCCCCCTCTTTCCTTTTAGAGCCTCCCCAAACCCTAAACCCTAAACCCTCTTTCCTTTTAGAGCCTCCCCAAACCCAAAACCCTAAACCCTCTTTCCTTTTAGAACCTCCCCAAACACCATCAAAAATGACTCTCTCTCCGAAATTCCACGCGGCCATGGCCCGGCATGTCCACCGGCGTGTACTGCGTGTGGGGTTCCGCACAGCCCTGAAAAGAAAGCGACGAGAGGACGGGTTCAGGGTTTACCTGTAACCGAAACGACCTACCTTTTTACGGAACTATAAAAAGAAGCCATAATAAGGAACCCTAAAAGGTGGGTCTTTTCGGTTACAGGTGGGGCTTGGGGCCCACCTTTTAAAAGGAAAAACGGGGCTCGAAGCGCTGGCCTCCGGACATAAGGGTGGGCCTGCCGTGATGCCGTGACCGTGGACTTTGGTCGCCGCGCCTCGCGGCCCAAAAGCTACGGAAGGCTTCGGGGCTGCTTAGGGTTCAGGGTTTAGGGTTTAGGGGTTTAGGGGTTTAGGGGTTTAGGGTTTAGGGTTTAGGGGTTACCCTAGCCTTCACTGGGATGCGCTGCTTTTGCTGGTTTGTCTTCATGTAGTTTGCTGATGTGTGGCTTCGGAATGTCACTTTTGCAGTTCGTCTTCTGGGGTATAAAGATGACTGAATCCGAATATGTGTGTGTATATATATATATACCTATCTATCTATCTACCTATCTACCTATCTGCCTATTTACCTGTCTATCTATCTATCTATCTAGATAGACAGATAGTTAGATAGGCAGATAGATAGATAGGTGGATAGATCTCTGCGCGTGTGTGCGCGTGCGCGATTGCCTTCCAATCCCTCGACAGCTTCTTGTCTGCAAACCGGTAAAACGTCTAGTCGCCAGCACTCCTACTAGGACGACGAGCAGCACCTCCCGAAGCATCCCGATCCTTGAGTGCCCTGCACGAAGCACTCAGGACAGACCCAAAGGTACAAGAGCATTCGGGAACCGCAGGGACTTCAGACGTGCAGGCATGCGAGCTCTCAAGTAGGCCGGGCAGCCGTGTTGTATATGGCAACCACCATTCCTGGGCTGAAGCTGGCGGGCGGAAGCCCGAAAGCAGTTGGGAGTTCTAGATTCAACATGATTCAACCTTCCGATGGGGCATTTCACATGTAGTTCCTGTTTCGTAGCAGTCCCCTCAAACCTGGGGCAAATGGCAGAAGACTCAGCCATTTTTAGACCTTGACCTCGCTTTCTCTCCGAGACTCGGCCAGCGGCTGAAATGAGCACAGCCGGCCACCTCTGCACATCCTTAGATTCACACCGATGGGAAGGTGAAGGTCCTTGTTGCACGAGTTTGGTGCAAAAGGGGTTTCACATGGTCTCCTTGCATGTGTTATTTGCCCTCGAAGGCGCAGGGGAAGGACTCTCATTAGGGCAAACATGATCGACCGAACGGATGCAGCTGCCCGCACGCAGGCTGCTCAACCTAGAGACCGAACAAGTTGTCAACAGATCGGAAACGACGGTGTAAAATCGAAAGTCCTGAGTTGTTACCGTGATCCTGATAGTTTCCACAGGAACTGAAACTGCAGACACCCAGTGATATCAGAAGAACTGGTGTCTCTCAGTGTCCGTAGAATTTGTACTTCACGAAGTCATCGGAGGCTATCGCGGCTGTATGGAAAACAGCTGCCATGGGACACATGGCCGAACGCACAGGGAAACCCATGAATCGCGGTGTTCCAGCAGGGAAAAAGGCGACCACCAAATGGAACCTAGGACCTGCCTAGTATTGAAATTTGGGACTTTCCGAAAAAAGGTAGGGTACCCGTGTATTCTGGGGTCCTTATAATAAGGATCCTACTATTTAGGGTGCTATATTCGGGTCCCCTAATTTTCGGAAACCCCCATTTGAGCCACGGCTCTTTGCTGGCATTCTTGCCAGCTGTGTGCGTAGGACCGACCTCTGCTGCTTCTCGGGCAGAAGTGGGAAGGAGGCCGGAAAGGTTGGAGAGCCGAGGCTTCGTAAGACATGGAAGCTCTGTTATAATGATTAGTACTGCTATTCCCATTACCATTATTACCATGATTACCATGATAAGTATTATTACTATTACTATTATTACTGACCATTCCTATCACTGTTACTATTCCTAGTGCTGGTGTTGAAATGGGCGGCTTCCGAGAAGGGTCTGAAGGATGTCCCGCCCGTCCCCCCGGGGTTGCAAAGCCCGCAGAGCAGTGCCGGAGGCTAAGAAGATTCGTCATTTTTTCTTGCATCCGCAGCAGGGTTGTGCTGCCAAGGTCTGGCTATGCATCTACTAGGCTTTTCTAAAAGAATCTAGGTTTCTACTAGGTTTTTCAAAAACAATCTAGGTTTCTACTAGGTTTTTCTGAAAAAATCTAGGTTTCTACTAGGTTTTTCTAGAAAAGCCTTGATAGGCTCAGGAAACTCAAAAGTTCGAACCGTCAGCCCGAAGGCTGGGCCTGAAAAACGCTGCCTTCCGCGGCGCGCCAAAGCACCGGAACAGAACCTCCGTAGTCTTAAGTAGGCTGAACCTCAGGGATTCTTTGTTATAATTAGAGTAGAATATACCCCCAAACACTAGTCTACTTACTTAGGGGCCGAGTACCTTAGCCCAAAAAAGGTTAAGCTTTTGAATTATATAAGTTTATATAAGCCCCAAAAGGTTCAAGGTTACCTACTCAGCCCCTAAGTATTGAAAAGGCCGGAGACCCTAAATCTTGGGCTTCGCACCATGGCCAGGAATGTCGATGGGCGAATAATACGAATTGGCCTCGAAGCAGTCCACCTGCATCTCCGGTAAGACTACTTCAGGTTTAAGGGTTTAGGTGTAGGGCTGAGGGTTTAGAGACGTTTAGTGTGCGCTTTCAAGGATGCTCGTTTCCTTGCAGGACCCTTCAGTTGTATAGCCATGAAGGTGGGCATACAACACGACTGACATGCACGTATTAATCAGGATGTGCCGATGCGAGGCTCTTGTTTCCAGCGGAGAGCCCCATCAGAGAGTACTGTGCAAAAATGCCTCGAAGTCAAAGCCCTCAACACGCAAGACGCACTCCAGAGTTACCGCGGCGAGAGGGAGAGTACCAGCCCAACAGTCTTTCGAAACTATGCCGCTCTTCAAATTTTGAGGCTGTGCAAGCAAGACACCATGAGTGACTCGTTGGATTGAAGGAGGCTGGCCGTGGCACTGGAAGCGGATTCCTGCGCCATGCGAAAAACAAGCTGTGGACCTCCTTTCAAGTCTTGGCTTTGACCGCGAGCTAGGGGGGAAAGGGGGGGAGGGGTGGGGTTTGGGATTTAGGGTTTAAGGTTTAGGGGCGGGATTTAATTTAGGGTTTAAGGTTTAGGGCCGTTTAGGGGCTTTCCTGGAACCAAGGCACCGTAAGCGACTCGCTGGTTTGAAGCAGACTCCCTGCCGAAAACGTCTTGGCCTGTCGGAGAAGCTGCGCAGGCTTCAAGGCTTCGGCTGTCATGGTTTAGGCTTTAGGGTTTAGGGGGTTTAGGGGGTTTAGGATTTAGCATTTAGGATTTAGGGTTTAGGATTTAGGGTTCAGGAATTAGGGTTTAAGGCTTACGGCTTCGTGTGCACGGCTTCAGGCTTCGGGCTCATTGGTTGGGTTTGCATCTATATAGCTAGCCATTGAAAACACTAGGGCGGCAGCATGCCAAGACATGGTACTCAGGATCAGCGCAGCCAACGTCGATCAGAAACCAAGTCTTGAACCAAGATGCGGTGAAAGTTAAGGGGGTCGGGCTTCTACCTGCCGGACATTGCCAAACAGCCCAATTAATTCTTTGGAACACTGTTACGCTGCTACTGGGAACAAGGCGAAAGAAAGAGTGGCGCCTTTCGCCATCGCAGCCCTAGCACTTCGAAACTTTAAATACGGAGACTGCCACGAGTAGCATTCTACAGAAAGCTGCTATTGCTAGATTACCCGTAGAACCCAATACCCCTTAACTTAGGAATATACCTATAAATCATAATATTAAGGCCCCTATAATTTAAGGTATATACCTTAATTGAGGGATACTGGGTTCTCTGGGTACCGCCTTTCCCAGCTTGACGGAGACCTCGAGCTCACCCAGGACGCATGCCATGAGGTTGGCCAGAGAACCCAATACCCCTTAATTAAGGAATATACCTTAAGTTGTAGAGGCCTTACTATTATGATTTAAGGTATATATTCCTTAATGAAGGGGTATTGGGCTCTCTGGGTATGCGAATGAGTCGAAGGCTGTGTCCGGGAGGGGATTCTGGATTCAACATCCCCCACTTAGGGGCCGAGTACCTTAGCCCAAAAAGGTTAACCTCTTGAATTATAATAGGTTTGTATAAGCCCCAAAAGTTTAGTTAAAGGTTACCTACTCAGCCCCTAAGCCCAATTTCGACGTCAGCACTGCAAGACACTCTTGCAGCGCATGCCACAAGTCCCCATGTGAAAGACTCTCGACAGCAGTGATAAGTGAAAACCTTACTTTACCGGACCCAGAGAACCCAATACACCTGAATTAAGGAATATACCTTAAGCTATAGGGGCCTGAATATTATGGCTTTAAGGTATATTCCTTAATATTGTGACTTAAGGGTATATTCCTTAATTAGGGGGTATTGGGTTCTCTGGGGAGCTGGGCCTGCCCATCGATGTGCGACACCGAGAAGGTGTCGCCCTCTGCAGCAAGCCGCCAGTCCCCGATCTGCATGAAATCTTCACCTGAAACCAATTATATAGGGGGCCTTAAAATTAGAAGAGGGTTCCTTTAAAGGGTTCCTTAAAGGGCTCCATAAGGGCTACTATAAGGGTTTAGGGGTGTAGGGGCCTTCATAATTAGAATAGGGTTTGGGGTATATGATACTAAAATTATTGTCAGGAACCCCCCAAAACCCTTACGGTTCCCAACAGAGTCTCTTGGATTCCAGCCTGCGACAGAAGAGACGGTAAAAATGCAAAAAAGCCGTGGTGGAAAGGCGACTGAAATGAAGGAGGAAGCAGTGTGTGTGTGTGTGTGGCGGTGTGAGTGCAACGCTATGTAGCCTCTACAAATAAGAGTGAGACAGACAGAGAGACAGACAGAGAGAGAGAGTGAGAGAGAGGGGTGACAGAGGCATTGAAGCCGCGGAGCCCGGCCTGTGACGATGCCGGTGCAGGAGCCCATGGCCTCCTGCAAGCTGCCGCAGTGCCAATGCGTAGGGCGACTGTTGACGGCGGGTCCGTACCTTGAGCTCCAAGAAGCACGACTTGACACAGCAAAAGGGGCATGCCCAGTCCTAGTACATGCGGCCTATGCCTACGACTATGCCTATGCTCATGTGTGCCAGGTACGAGCCGTGGTGGTCCGTGTCAGCCCAGCCATCTTTGTGGAAACGGTAGAGGGAGTTTCCCCAGGGGGCGAAGGTAATGGCGAGATTCATTCCATTAGAGTCGCCGATTCGGAAATTGCCAATCTGTATGAACTTATCGCCGAAGTTCACGCCTGAGGCAGGTCCGATTCTTCTTCCCCATGCACTGTAGGTTGTCAGTCCACCGGTGAACCCCCAATGCAGGTGAGGATGATGATGGAGCTGGAAGAGCTTCGCCGTCTTTCCGCGTCTGTGAGAGATGCTAAGATGCCGGTCGTCGATCGCCGCCACCCGCCAGTTCCCAAACTGGATGAACTGATGGCCGAAGACAATGCCGGAGGGAAACCCAAGGGGCCTGTGCCAGGTGCCGAAACTGCTGCTCGGCTGGTGACGATGCTGAACTCCGTCCGACGTCAAGATCTCAGCCGTCCTTCCATCCTTGTGAGAGAACGTGAAGTGATGGTCGTCGTAGGCCCCCATGCGCCAGTCGCCTAGCTGGATAAATCGATCTCCCCAAGCTGCAAATTGGGGATCACAAGCTCCAAAGGAAGTCTCCTCAGCTCTGCTGGCAACACATCGCGAGGATCCCTAAACATCAAGCCACAGTTGAGGCCCTGTCCAGACTCAAACGGTCATAGACTAACGTGATCCGGGGTGAAAACGGGGTGAAATCTGGATTGCATGAGTTGCTGCATTGTTTCTTGTGCGAGCTTGGACATGTCCGGATCATGGGAAAGAAAGTTCGTCGGCTCTTAAATCAAGATGAACATGGAAGGGAAGAGCCTGTTGGATGCGCTCCGTAGCATGAGGTGGGTGCACCGAAAGAGAGAGAGGGACAAAGAGAGAGAGAGATAGAGACAGAGAGAGAGAGCGAGAGAGAGCGAGAGAGAAAGAGACAGACAGACAGGCAAACGAAGGGAGAGAGAGAGTAAGAGGTGCTGACGAAACCGACTGCAGCAAACCGACACAAACAGCTTTCTTGTAAAGAGCCTACGAAACCGTCCCAGGCTCGCCGATGCCTTTGACAGTGTAGTCTGCCGGAGGCCGATTCAGGAACGAGGTGTAGTGGCTCCATTGGTTCCCCTTCGTCTTGCCGTCATGGCCATCAAAGACCTGGATACTCCGCCTCTTCTTGACCTTCGACTTTTCTCAGTCACGGCCACCAAACTGGAGAAACCCCAAATAGACCGGAAGGGGCCCTATTCACAGACTTACAACCCTTGTTATTGATGGGGACCTCTTAGTGTCACATTTTCACAAGGATCCCTTGCGCTAAGATAGCCCGACATGTGGACTTCAAAATTGTGCCGAGAGGCACTCGAGATCACGAAGCGCATGTTATCCTCGTCGCCAATTCGAAAGTTCCCCAACTGGAGGAATCTGCACAGGGGACTTCAGGTATGAAGGGTTGGGACAAATCCGAAGAAACCATGTCCCTGCTGTGGGGATTGAGCACCGCAGAGTAGCAATACTCATGTCTACAGTTAGAAGCGGAGGTTATCGATTCGCTTGTCAGAGACCCTATCAGGCACCGGGGCTTCCCAAACCCTGTCTCCTTGAACCCTAAACCCTGAACCCTAAACCCTATAGAACCTTAAATCCTGAACCCTAAACCCTAAACCCAAAGCTTAATGTTTCCTAAAGCCCAGGACTTCGGGATAGTAGTACCAGAAACCCATTCGCTACTAAAAGCCAGTTTGTTAAGATCCTCCAGAACCCTAAACCCAGAACCCTAAACCCTAAACCCTATACAACCCTAAAACCTAAAACCCTAAACCCATTTGTCAAGATCCGTTTGTTTCTTCAACGGCCTGTCGCCAAAGCTGATGCCCAAAGGCTTCCCGACAGGACGATCCCAGGTTCCGTAGTCCTGGGCTTTAGGAAACAGTAAGCTTTGGGTTGAAGGGGTTTAGGGTTTAGGGTTTTAGGGTTTAGGGTTCAGGGGGGGTCTTAGGGTTTAGGGTTGAAGTTCTGGCCCGAAAACATCAAAACTGGCCGTGGGATAGTGTTTAGTTCTGCGACTCTTGAGATGACGGGGCGTTGTCTAACCTCTCCGTGATGGGGCCGGGAGGCAGTCCGTCTGTTGCCGTCTATGTAGCCATCCTCTTTGAAGATCTCGAGGGTGTTGCCGTTCGAGTGCCTTGGTTGTTCGCTGAGGCATGTTAGGCCAGGCGTGTCATGAGCAGCTCTGGGCGGTAATGAAAGAGATCTAAGTCAAGGACTTTTTGGTCTGATCGAAAGTCCAGACTCTGACATAAACTACCGCATGCATAGTAGTAGCCGTGATGATCAAAGCACATAGGAGCAAGAATTGTGATCATAGTAACCCCAAGAGTCATCATCATACAGCCTGCAGTGTCCAGTCTTTAGTCTAGAGGTCTACCGAAGAGGGGAAAACCCATGAAGCGGAAAAAGTCGGGTTTTGCGGGTATCGGTACAGGCTACATTAGTCTTGTAATGAGGAACCCAAAGTGAAGAGGTGGCATTCTTCTCTACTAACCACCGACCCTCGTCTTCCCCCAGGTCATCAGGGAGTTTCCCCCAGCGGGTTGTGTAGTACAGGGTTCAGAACAGTCAGTAGCAAGGTTCCGCGATAGTCCAGTGCTTGTGTACAATACCAAGTAATTCGATCGTACCCCACGTCGTATTCTGATTGTTCAGGCCCCCGTATTCCCAGACAGGGCCACGGCACGAAAGTGAGAAGTGTTCATCGTCTGCAGCACCAAGTCGGAAGTGCCCAATCTCGATGAACTCGAAGCCAAACTTGATTGCACTAGCGTGGGCGTTGGGCGTCCGTGACCTGAAGGTCTGTGCCATATGATATACGGATTCATGTTAAATACAGGTAGAACGACAATATCATCCAAAATGTGCCCTCGCGAATATTCAAGCGGAGCCCTATGTACAGCAGAAACCTCAAACTGTGGATTGAGGTCTACGCGAGTCTACGCGCAAGTGCACAAAAAACGATTGCAGCTCAAAGGACTTGTGCCAGGCGCCCCAATCGAGTGTTGGACCATAGTGGTTGCGGCCGTCGGCATGCCAGATTTGAATTGTCCGGCAGTTGTGATTCTGGCAGCAAACCACGGGGCTCTAGTTTGGTACATGAGAGGCTTGATGACACATGAGTTTTGGGGTATCAAGAAATAACTAACTAACTAACTAACTAAATACATAAATACAAAACAAAATAAAATATATACTATATAATATATATATAGAGAGAGAGAGAGAGAGAGAGAGAGCTGGCGGCTCGGGCTGGGGCGAGGACGGATTGGATTCCCCAAACCCTAAACCCTAAAACCCTCAACCCGAAACCCCTGAACCCCAAACCCGAAACCCTAAAACCCTAAAACCCGAAACCCTAAACCCCTAAACCCGAAACCCTAAATCCCAAGCCAGCCTCTGTTCTCTTTGGGCCTGCGATGCCGTTGAAGCCAGAAGTGTACGGCTTCGCCGCACCTCCCAGAAGCTCAGATGTCAAAAAACCTACGTTCTTTTCTCACTTCTGCGGTATGTGGATACTGATTAGGAAGAACGGCTTCTTCATATTCCCTGCCCACTTTTTTGTTATACTTTGTTAGTTCTTGTCTACTTCCAGTTCTTCAGCCTAGCAAGTCGTTTGACAATGGGGTACAATGCGATGGGGTGATAGGATGCGCCAGATACTGAAAAAGAGAATGCCGCCACGGTAGAATGCAGGGTGCACAGCGATAGACAAAGTCGTAATTAATGAGATGAACTACGAGAGACTATGACAGAGGAGGATAGGGTGCGGCACCATAGAAGGGCGCATTCGTTAACTGCAAAAGCACAAGTCACACTCGCACACACACACACACAGATGTTCTGCTACGACCTAGCTCATGAACTGAAACAAACAGGAAGACAAAGCCCTTCCGAGATGTTAGAGCTCTTGCATTGCTCACGAATATCCTCACGCTGACCAGGTCACTGGTGTGGAGGCGGCAGCCGCCATTCCTGGGATAAGGTGGGTGGGTGCTGAAAGCTTCGTCAGGTAGCCAAGCTTCGCGAGGTAACTCGGCTTGTGGTTCCCAGAGAGCCCATTATCCCTTAATTAAGGAATATGCCTTAAATCATAATACTAAGGCCCCTAAAATTTAAGGCATATTCCTCAATTAATAAGGGGTATTGGGCTCTCTGGGTTGGGCCCTTGTCTCGCTGGCAGGTTCGCTTGCACTGGCTCTTCTGCATCTAGGCTCTTGGATTTCACGGCATGGAGCCTTCCTGACACTGATTTGAACACTTGTTACCAGTGAGCCCTCTTGCAAGCGCCCAGAGGCTGGGTTGAAAAAATCAGCTTTCCGTTTGCGCGTACCAACCTCTGTATGAACAAAAACGGGAGCGTCAGGTATTGCAGGCGGTGAACGCGACAGAAGGAAGCTCCGTGCCAATGAAGTAGCACCTGATAGATTTCGCAAACTGAGGATGCCGACTAAAGGCCTGTAGATGCACAGATGTGCGAGCACTCCAATTCCCGATCCCTCATCATGAGCACACACGACCTTGACCTGCAAAGCGGAACATATGCTGCGAGTCCTCGATGCTTAGGCCTTGCAAACGTTGGACCAAGATATCTGTTAAACCTATGCTTGATGCAAAGCCCTGCTGAGAACCTGCAAAGTGCGTTCTCCGCTGGGATTGGGATAAGCAATCTTCGTGTGACAGAGCAGGGCTTGAGCGTGCCTGCAATCTGCAGGGGCTTCCTCTCTTGCAGGAGCGAGTTCTTGATAGACAACATCCGTATGAGTTCGATTTCCTGCCGTCGGAATTAGTTGGTTGGCTGGCGGCTTCACCAGCCCTAATACTTGTGCTACTACCCTCGCATCTATGAACCGGACAACTCGTGGCAGACACAAGCCTCCAATGCTTGTCCGAGAATCGGATAGAAGGTGAAATGCACACAGTTCCACACGTTTGAACATCCTCAGATGTATGTCGGGAGAGGTCAGAGGCCAGGCTTGGTTGGCTTTGCTTGTGCTTCGGGCTCCGGTTCCACCGACAGGTGTAGTTCTCCTAGTACTGGTCCCTTTAAAGTAATTACCCTCAACCCCAAGCTCTTAACCCTGGGCCCGTTGCCCATTTGGGCCCCCCCCAAAAAGGGACCACCAAGAGCGTCCCTGGGAGCCGCCAGCGAGCAGATTTCAAGGTGGCACGAAACCGCGTGAAGACAAAGCACCTCCTTGAACCGAGGAACAGCGAAGAGGACAGCCTTCCTGAAGCTCTGTCCCCCAACACTGCTGCTGCGAAGAAACCCCAAAGTGTGTCAAGGATGGTAGTTACGGAAGCGAAGTTCAACCCACACAAAATCTCTCCCAAGCCTGGCAGGGCTGCTTCGCAAGGAGTCTCAAAACAGCCCACAGGTCCACTTGGGTCTGGCTTGGACCATGGGAAATCCAGGACTACTAGAACCACAGCTACCGTAGATGTAGGCCGGTGCTCGAACTACAAAAAAGCCCCCGGGGCTTTGTTGGTAACGTCGCTTAGCCACTCCTAAGACCCTAAACCCTCGTTGGCCTGACCGCGACAAACGCGGGAAAAATCGGAGTGCCTTTTTGGACAAAAAAGCCTCGAAACTCTGACAAGAAGCCCTGAGACGGGCTATTTGGGCTTTAACGCCTATAATAGGGTTTTAGGGTTTAGGGCTTAGGGTTTCGGGGTTTTAGGGTTTTCGGGTTTAAGGTTTCGACTCACGTACTCGCAAAGCAGGCATGGCAGGAAGGCTTAGGGTTTACCTGAAAAGCCAAGTAGCCCAAAATAACAGACTACCATACCCTAAAGTAGCCCATGATTGGCTCAAAGTAGCCCCTAAATACAGACTACTGGCTTTCCAGGTCGGGTTTCGGGAGAATTCAGCCCGGGGCTCTCTTCTGACATGCCGGCCAATTGGCTTCGCTGGTCACGCCTCCGCAGACAGCTTCTCCGGATCTCGAAGTGGTGCGTGTGGTGGGCTTCAGGTTTAGGGTCTAGGGTCTTTCGGGTTTAGGGTTTAGGGATTTTCCAGGGCCCCTAACTGCCTTCTAAGCCCTGGAGCCCTGGCTTCCGAGCCTACTCCGACCTCGAAACCTCAAGGGATACCTTTTTTTGCTTTCGGTGGCGGGCTGGGGCTCAGAGCTCGCTTGGATGTCGGATTGGGAGGCCCAGCTTCACAACCCGCAGCCTTAGCATGGTGCACGAGGCCCTCTGCAGCGTCAAGGCCCCCCCAAACCGAAGCCTTCACCTTTGACTGACAAGGCCGACGAACTGCGAAGGCCGTGGAACCGAGAGTCCTAAATCCGAAAAGCGAGCGTCTGAATTCCGCGCCGGCGCCTCGGCGCCGGCCGCTGTTCAAGATTGGCCAGTAGTAGGTGTGGGCTTTGTTGCCGGTCTGTCAGGAAAGCGGATGAAGAGCAGGTGCCATTACATGGGTAGTTCTCTAATTTAGGGGTCCCTTTTGGGGTCCTTGTTACAAGGGAGCCGTACTATATATGTGGGACCAAAAAACGGGGACCCTGATTTAGAGAGCTACCCACATGGGGGTTTCCGAAAATAGGGGACCCTAATATAATACCCTAAATAGTAGGATCCTTATTATCAGGACCCCAAAATAAGGTACCCTGATTTTCGGTGAGGTCCCACATACCGGGTTCTGCTTCTTCCAGAGCTGCCACGGGGCTTAGGGATATCTCCAAAGCCCGGGGTCGGCTCTGGTGCCGAGAGAGCCCAACACCCCTTAATCAAGGAACATACCTTAAACCAGAATAGTAATAATAATAATCAGAAGTATAAGAATAAGAATAAGAATAAGAATAATAATAGTAATAAGGCCCCTATCATTCAGGGTATCTATCCCTTAGTTAAGGTGTATTGGGCTCTCTGGGTTCCCAGGAAGCTGAGGCCCGGTCGCAGTGGGAGATCGAGAAGTGGTGGTAGTCCATGGCCGCGAGGCGGAAGTTGCCCAGCTCGAGGAAGTGATCTCCCAGTCCTAGGGGTTTAGGGTTTAGGGTTTGTTTTTTGGGTTTAGGGGTTTAGGGTTTAGGGTTTAGGGAGGCTCTCCGAGGACTCGAATGTATAAACCTGAGTAAGAGACCCTGGCCCTCTACCCCAAGCTAGGGTTTAGGGGTTTAGGGTTGAGGGATCTCCCTCATGCTTCTGCCAGCTTTGCTAACTTAGATCTCCCTACCTCAAAGACGGGGGGGCTTCCCCTGAAACCTAAACCCTTTGTAAAATCTGAAACAGCGCTTTTGAAGTCGGGCCCGGTGTCCCAGCTTATGGACCAACTGCCTGGTGTGGAGAAGCTCGTGACTCGGCTTCTTCTTCTGCGGCAGAATCTGGGCTGAACGGTTTTAGGTTTTTTTCCCTTTTTTAGGATTTACGGTTTAGGGGGGTTTAGGGCCGAGTGAGCTGAGGAATGCGGGCTTTTTGGGATTTGGACTGGGGGAGTTCATGCTTTGGAGCTGTACTGAACCCACCAGCAAAAGCTGCACTAACTGGAGCCAGAAACTCTCGTTACCTCAGCATCGGATGAAGGCTTTCTGCCGACATGGCTGCACCCAAGCTCTTCCGCACACGAAGCAGTAGAGAAACCAGGTGTCCTTTTCTTTCACAGACTGAAGCATGTTTCGACAATCGGGCACTACTAGACTCATGATTACGGCCGGTCCCATGCATGGCACTAGTTGGGGGGTGGTGTATATGTTCCACAGAGCTTGCTTGTTCGCCGGGCATCGTGTATGCTTCCACGCAATAGACCTTGTCCACCGCCAGCGCGACCGGCTTGCCGCTGAAGTCGATGTTCCTTGCAGAAGGCTCCGTCAACCAATAGCCGGCTTTTCATCAACTGTAAAGCTTGGCTGGTCCTGGAAAGCTTAACGTCACGCTTTAATGTTCGTTGCCTGCTCGGCCAGAGCTGTAGATAAGATACATGATGCACGGAATGCCGTCAATAACCGTAAGCATGTGGCACTGCAGCACTGGTCTTCCAAAACGCTCGACGCCGAAGAACCAAGACTTGAGCAAGAGTGAGCCCAAGGACCAAGAAGCTTTCATTCTCCAACCCCTGATTCTAGTTACTGGCTCTTCCATAACAGACTTGAGGACGAGGAGACTCTGCCGAGGGTTTCTCGAACTCAGGCCAATCTTATGAGGGCGGACCCTCAACCCTAAACCCTAAAACCTAAACCCTAAACCGAGTGTCAGGTCCGGGATCATGTCGGTGACCTTCTTGGCGGCTTCTCGAGCCACGTTCTCCAGGGTGCTCATGACCACACCGGACACTTTGTTGAGACCCGGCACGCATGCCATGCCAGCCGCCAGAACCTTTAGGGCCCTTTAGGGTTCATCCGTCGAAGGGTATTGTCAGGGGTGCTAAATGCGATACTTTCAGGGCCCTATAGGTGTTATATAACATCGGATGCTCAAGACTTTTAGTTCGCTTCGTCGATCTGCGGGTGCGTGGCATAAGACGCCAGAGACAAAAGCACGTCTGCATAGAGGTTACCCCTGCCTTATACGCTGCCAGCGCACCAGCCACGTAGGATTGCAAGATTTCAGCCGCGATTTCTTGGGGACGGAAATCTGGGCGGCACAGATACAAATCCCGGGATCCTACAATCAGCGGGCATGTCGTCGCCAATCCCAAGAGCAGCAACACGTAAAGATCAGATGTTCGGGGGTGCGGGGGGTTGGCTTTGCATCAACACCTTCCTACAGAAAGTTTCTGCTCCAATCATAAACACTTCGACGTCCGAGAAACCGATGTCGAACTCCACAGGTATTCCAAAGGCCGTGATGCCGCTGTCGATATAGATGTTCAGAGCCTGGTCGCGAATATTTTGTACCCCGAACGCCCCTCAACGGCAGATGCACGTAGGGTTTAGGGTTTAGGGGAGCCACCACTGAAGTGGAAGATGCAAGGATAAGGTTTCCGAGTCCCTGGAAAAGCCAAAGTGTGTTTGTCAAGACAGACCTCGGAGGGCCCGCGAAGACTCCCCCTGTCTGAGTTTAAAACAAGCTGAGGTGTAGACACACCATGTCACCAGGTGGCCTTGTCCTTTTACTTTAACCCCCTCCCCAACAAAAAAGACAAACAAATCGGGTTTAGGGTTTCTTTTACTTTACCCCAC